ACTTTATGTAAGGCAGTACTAGTATGATGGAGTGCAAACCTGATCTTCAGATCAGCTTTGAATCCCGCTTGCTGATTTGTGCCATAAGCCACTCAGGTGGGTCTTGGTAGACAGTGACCTTCTGGCTTTGTTTTCACTAAAGCGATGGGAAGCCAGATCAGACCTTGTGCTCTTTCGGAAATTTTGAAATATTTCTGGATGCTGTTGGAGAAGTTGCTGCATTTCAACTCAGAGTACTAGTTGGAGGAATTTCTAAATTGGCATGTGCATGCATGTACACAAACTGCAGTACATAGCTCTGGTGTTGGATAAGGCAGAAGCAAAGAGTGTTTCTCTATACTCATTGGCAAGAGCACCCTAAAATCAAAAGTCCTGTCTGGAGGCTAAGCAACTACATCCTCTGAGAAAAAAAACAACCAGCAATAATAAAAAAAAAGTCTAGGCTTCACTGGACACCCAGACTATGTTCACTGTAAGACTTCAGCCCTAATTCCAATGTTTATCAGAGGTCTTCACATGCAGAGGTCAGTAGCAAACATCCTGCATACTAAGACATCACCGTTTTTAATGTTTCACCTGCTTCACAATTGCAACATGGGTTTCTTACCTTTGCCATTAGACTTTGATGCTTTTAAACTGCTGTGCAAAATGCCTAAAGATCAGTCTCTGGTTAACTTAAGCCACAATTAAATTTTGTCTACCATCACAGGATAATTATAAAATCAGCATGACACAGAAAGAAGTATAGCTTCACAGACAAACAGAGGGGAGAAATATGCTGTGAAGGGGAAAAGCTGTTCACATTAAAAGAATAAGAATCATAAGTCAAAACTCATCAAGTTATTGGCAAAATATATTGCTTTTATACACATCTCTTTCCCCACCTTTCCATCCACATGAAAATCTTTTCTTTAATATTAAAACTCAAAAGATCAGTAAGGTCTACAGTATGGTATGAGCTCAAAGCATACAGTAGCAGTTGTCTTGTAATAAAAGGGCAGAGCTCATCATTAATCAAAGATGCTTTAGGCACTAAGAACACATTTGTCCCTGAACTGCTGTGGCATAATGAGAATTGCCATATTGTACAAATACTTGTTTAGTGTCTGAAAACTGTTGTTTAAAGTGGAGACATAAGGCTACATTTAGGTCATGAAATAACATAACTGAGAAACAAAGTAGGTGCCCTGTTGGGTTATAATGAACTATCTTGTGTGATGCAATATGTACAGAAATCCAAAACAGAACGAAGAGTTGTATTGAGCAAAATGTGCTTTCAGCTGTGTGGTGGTGTAACTCATACTTCATGTCCTTGAGTATTCACAGACTTTACAGTATGTGGAACTGAGCATCCTATGTAATAGCAACACAATGTCTGCAGCCACGTCTATCAGATTCGACTAGTGTTGGTCTTACAACACAGGACGAATTAACATATGCACCTGTGTAATGTTTGTTCTCTGCACTTAGTGATAATGCACTGCAGCAGCAATTTGAGGGGAAAAAAAAATTGAGTATAAATGCAAAAAAATGAACTGCCAATATAATAATTGGTTTAAAGCAATTTGAAAGTAAGAACAAGATTGCCAAATGCATATATTTAAATTATTAAATACACTACTGTTTATTTTGTAGTGGTTCTATATTTCAGAAAGTGATGGTCTGAGACACTGAAACAGATGAGAGCTTAACAAGGCTATGGGAAAATGGTTCAGCTATGGCACTAAAATTGCTATCACAGACAGAGAGGTTAGCAGTTTCTGGCTCAGATACCAACATGTGAACATAAGGGTTCAACCCCACTAGAAACTGTGAGAGAGAATTATTTTCCTGCCATCCACTTCACTAGACTTACACAGGACTTAATATGACCCAAAATCTCTTCTTAGAAAGGAGGACTGGGACAGCCACATAACCTGCCTGTGAGGATCTGTACATGCACAGTGCCTTAGCTGTGAGAAATAACAAGGAGCTAAAACAATTTCAATTTTTTTCAAACATCATCGTCTCATGAGAGTAGAACCTGAGTTTTTCACTTTCAGTGACCTCCACTCCAACTCATACTGTGACTCTTCTTTTACCGTATGTAGGTCTTGCCTGCATTTCAATTATGTTTTACATAAATTTTACATTAGGATAGCAGTGGTTCTTTTAAAATAATAATAGAAGAAAATCTTAATGAAAGTACTTCAACAGCAACCACGAGAGCCAAAAAAATCCATCCCTAAAAAAATCCCACCAACGTTGCTTGCTAAATAAGTGCTTCACAAGCATGAATGACTTGCTTCTAAACCTGGTAAATCGGAGTGCAGCATTCACAACTCCTACAACTCATCAAGCCCGCCAGTGGTTAGAAAAGTCTAGAACACATTATCCCAATTTGTACTTTTTAGAGAGAGTTATATTTCTACTTATCATGGAGAAGACAACAGTAATTTGACTTTAAGTAGGAAATTAAATGCCCACACACCACCAAGAAAGGCAGCCTCCTTAAATTGCCCAGCACAGAATTCACAGAATTCACAGAATTCACAGAATGGTTAGGGTTGGAAGGGACCTCTGGAGATCATCTAGTCCAACCCCCCTGCCAGAGCAGGGTCACCTACAGCAAGTTGCACAGGACAGCGTCCAGGCGGGTTTTGAATGTCTCCAGAGTGGGAGACTCCACCACCTCTCTGGGCAGCCTGTTCCAGTGCTCCACTACCCTCAAATTAAAGAAGTTCCTTCTCATGTTAAGATGGAACTTCCTATGTTCAAGTTTATGCCCATTACCCCTCATCCTATCACTGGGCGCCACTGAAAAAAGACTGCTCCCATCCCCCTGGCATCCTCCCTTTAAGTATTTGTAAGTATTAATAAGATCCCCCCTCAATCTTCTTTTCTCTAGACTAAAGAGACCCAAGTCCCTCAGCCTTTCCTCATAAGAAAGGTGCTCCAGTCCCCTAATCATCTTCGTTGCCCTTTGCTGGACCCTCTCCAGCAGTTCCCTGTCTTTCTTGAACTGGGGAGCCCAGAACTGGACACAGTACTCCAGATGCGGTCTCACCAGGGCAGAGTAGAGGGGGAGGATGACCTCCCTCGACCTGCTGGCCACACTCTTCTTGATGCACCCCAGGATGCCATTCGCCTTCTTGGCCGCCAGGGCACATTGCTGGCTCATGGTCATCCTGTTGTCCACCAGGACTCCCAGGTCCCTCTCCACAGAGCTGTTCTCCAGGAGGTCAGCCCCCAACCTGTACTGGTGCAGGGGGTTATTCCTCCCCAGGTGCAGTACCCTACACTTACCCTTGTTGAACTTCATAAGGTTTCTTTCTGCCCAACTCTCCAGCCTGGCGAGGTCACGCTGTAAGGCAGCACAGCCTTCAAGGCAGCTGCTGCTGTAAGGCAGCACATGATGTCAGGCTAAAGACACCATCGCAAGATCATCTTTGGTATTCCCAGGCTTCAGTAGTTCCAGAAACATACTGTTGCCAACAACTGCAAACAAACTGTAGGCAGGTACCCTGGCAGCGCTGTGGCCAGAGGTCAGATGGGATGAAGGCTGGACTGGCCTCTTACTGGAGAGTTGGAAGCACAAAATTTGGACAGGCACAAGGACACCTTGCTGGAATTTGATTTCATTGATTTACGAAGGTCCCTTGGCTCTATCTTCCTTCTGACTTGAGGGTTTTTTTGAACCACAGAAAGTTATTCTGTGAAGGAAGGCAGATGAAGTGATAGTATCAGCAGGAGAAGATAAGGTATTGTCCTAGGGACTAATTGCACAGCTTGACTTTCTAATTTGTTAGAATAGATGAAAATTCCCCACAAAGGGGAACACAGGCTTAAAACTGCTGGCAGATTCTTCTACATCATATTTGAATAATAACAAAGTAGAGATAATCATGATCTAATTGTAGACAATTTGTTAGTCAAAAAATTAGTTGAACAAATTGTTCTTTCTGGTATATAAGTTAAAGTTAAAATACACACACACACACACCAGGGAAGATTATTCCTGAGGTATTTATCACTGCAGGATAACTGAAAAGTACTAAAAATAACATGGAAAAACAATGACTTTTAAAATCTCTTCTTTTAAGTATGTAGCTACATGAAACACGTGGTCCTTAAGCAACTTGGTCTAAGATTGAAGTCAGCCCTGCTTTGAGTAGGGGGTTGGACAAGGTGATCTCCAGAGGTCCTTCCAACCTAAATAGTCCTTGGATTCTATCAAATGCCCACAATAAATAAGGTTGTGTCAGACTACTTGAAACCAAAAATCCACCTCAGGTCTAACAGCAGAGATGGGCTCAGACTCTATTGGAAAGGGCTAAAGTCCTCTCTGAGCACCACAGCTTATCCTCATCCTCAGGTTGCCCCGTCAAGCCCCAGCTGCCTTGTCCTCCCTTTCCACCTAACCCAGTAACAGCACGCGGTTTTAGCTCCCTCCTATTTATTTGCAAGCGCCAAGTGGATGCACAGCCCCTGAACAGTCTGAACTGTAATGTAACAGGATCTTGTGTGACAAATTAAGGCAGTCAGAATGGGGGCATGAACGGAGCCTGTCCTCCCTCTTCCTCATTTCCCTCCGACTCAAATGTATCCACGCGAACATGACAGTACACGTCCATCTGCTGAGGGAGCTGCTGTCTTCTCCTGCCACCCTCCCTCTGCATACAGATGTGCTTGCATGTGGACTGCACACTCCAGAAGGCAGACACTGCTGGATTTTAATCCCTCCGAATTCTCTGATGGATTAAACCTCAAATCTCTAACTGTCCTTCTTAATGCTGCAGTAAGTAACACACACATCGGTTACACTGATTTACAGCTGAAATAAAAGTGAAAGACAGTCAAAATGAAATGTCGAAAATCAGTCTATGCTGCTAGTGGACGGGACACTAAAGTGTTCTGGATTATTTTCTCCCACCGCCCTTGACACTGCCCAGTGTCTGATGAGGCAAAACCCACTGGCTGCAGCAATAGAAGTTTGGGTACATGTATTACCCTCCACCTACCTGTAACCCTTCAATGGCCAGTTTGAGGATAGATGGCGTAAGCTTGGAGGCTTGCTTGAAGGAGAAGTTGCTCCAATCTATAATTAGAATGAAGCCATTTATCTGAAGCTCCTGATCTTCAATGAGCACTTCCAACGACAGCAGGATAGCCCGAAGGATATCTATGAAGGAGTTCCTAAAGCCAAAGCAGAAAAAAACAAACAAAAAATAATGGTTGCTGTTATCTTCAAACCTCAAGATATTCAGCTTTGCTGTGGATGGGCCATGAGCAAGGGATGGGGATTTATTCTGGTAGAATTCTTCTGAAAAGAGACTTAATTCAGAGGTGTCACTAAAGCGCTCCTGCTCCAAAACTCACATTCCTCTGCTTGATGTGATAAGTAAGTCCTGCTCACTGGTGAATAAAATAAACCCTGAATTAAATCTTTTTGATTCTTCTGGCTTCCTTATAATAGATTTTAGCTAAGCTACTTTGGGAAAATATTTCTCTGTGGTGATATGAAATGGATTCAGGCTAACAGTTTAAATCCCTGTTCCTTTGGATATACTTTACCAGTTTTTTTGTTTGGGTTTTTTTTTCCCTTCTTTTCTGTCTATTATAAAGAGGAAAATCAGAAAAGGAAATAAATTAGTACGATAGTAATATAAATGGTATGGTTACAACTTGGCTCCCTGGCTTCCTGCTTGAGAGGAGGGAACGATCCAAGGCTTTGCACAATAATGTCTGACTGTTCCCTTATTTCTGTGAACCAAATGCAACATGGAAAATAGCTGAATCCACTTAAAATGGGAATTCTTTATTAATTAGCAGCTACCAATAAGCTGGCTGCAAGGCTTCCCTCAGCTCTGGGAGAATAATTAGAAACCCTGGAGGCCCTGAAGGAGATAGCAAGTGACAGAGAAGAAAATGTTTAAATGTTTTCTTTAATGTGAAAGTCTGCACGGAGAAGCCTGGGCCGCTCTCTGCTTCCATCTCATGCATTTTACAAAGGCAAGTTGGACACTTTAATGACTTATTCCATATTTACACCTGACTAAGCTGAATCAGGACCTCTCATCATCTATCCTTCCCCTTAAGATGATTTACAAACAACAGATTCAACAAGCAAGGAAAGCTTCAGAAAGTATAGCTTAACCTTATGTAAAATGAAACTCTAACATCCTGCTATTGCAGTCTGCTACTCCTCTGCATAATTCTCAAATTTTGATGAAGCCTGAGGTCTATTATAAGGAAGGCTCCCACCATGTTCTCCCACGGAGATTTTCATTTAATCCTTTTCTGCTGTTTTCTTTAATTTAAAACAAGTCATCTAAGCCTACAAGATCGTTGTTTCAAATTATGCCTGAGAGAAAAAACCTTTGTGCAGTCAAAACAAACTTCTCTACTGTCAAGACCTCTAAGCCTGAACGGCAGCAACACAGGATAAATTTCTATTAGAAGTAAATGGTGAAGTGTTTTCTTATTCTTTCTTTTTTCTTCCAGCAGGTTTTGAGTGGAAATGTACGTTCCCTCTCTAAAGACAGAGTCCCTTGAAAAAGCTGTTTCTGAACTGTGCTTCGCCACCTAAGTTAGAAGCTTCCCTGAAGTATAATTGCTGAGGCAACTTGCAACACATAGAGCTTAAGGATATTTGACTTTGTTGCTGCTGAGTACCACACCACCCCTCCCCCATTTGCAGTAACAGGACAACCTTGACCTTTTCAAATCATGTGGGGAAGCCGTGCTAAAGAGACAAACTGAAGCAGTACTTTCCTTAGCAATGTAAGGTGAAGGCATACCCACTGGATTGGCAACTGACATTCGTTTTCAGTCTAAACTTATTTTAAAAAACTTTTATATGAATGTACTACCCACTACCCAGCTGAAATGGGTGACGACCTTCACATGGCAGCATTAAGTTCCTACACTTTCAGTGATGAAAAAAGCAATTTCACCCCTAGATCGTATCTACTTAATATATTCTACGTTACTCTACCCCAGCAGCTCCGTTCAAGGGGGCCCGCCTTCCACAAGAACTGCCCCATGGAAGGTCTCAAGACATGTGCAGTGTCTCCTCACACACATGCCAGCCTTCTCCACTCTCTTGTTGGCATCAAGACAGAGTGATATCGTCATTCATGGATTGTCTTTCTGGCTAGATTGGGGAAGATGGACTAATCCAGAGCTCGATTTAACCCCACATTTGCAAAACTTAAAATAAACTGAAAACTTGTTATTACTGAAGGTGTGAAATTAGGGCCACATTGTGATCAGAAAAGGTTTCATCCTTTATTTTTGGGAAGAAGTTTTCTTAATAGAGGATGCAAACTCGAATTCGTGATCCTGCTACCTCTGATGCTTCTAAAAGCTGTGCAATGATTTCAGTAGGGTTATATGGAAATGGTGCATACAACGCATCTTCCACAATCCACTTAAACTCTAAATCAGAATGAAATGTTTCATTTGATTGAGCAAAATCTTCCTCTCAGACTCTATCCTTCGGAATTCCAATCTTTGTTTAGATGTCTACATAAATTACCAAGTTGTCAAGCAATTACTCACCTGTACATCCCTGCACTTGCAGTAGAAATTATTTGCCTGCGACATATAGCACCCAGTTTTCTTAGTGCATAACTAATCTGGCTGTCCCCTGCCCAGATCCTTCCCCCCCCTCTATGTATTTGCAGTTTCAAGACATGGTGTAGGAAATAACTCAAAGTGAACACAAAGACGTTTTTCAGATGAGTACAAGGAGACGTGAAAGCAGCACACAAGTCCTCCAGGTGGGCTGTATGCAGGCACACTGTTTTGTGAATTTGCAGGGTCTGGATAGAAATCAGACAGAGTGCCACTTGAGGCTGAAGCCCTCTGCTCCCTAATCTTGAGGCTTTGAGACAAATCATTCAGCTGTGTGACTGATTTGCATCCAAATCATTTTCTATGCATGAACACAGAACCACTTTCTATTAGTCCACGTCTTTTGTTCCTTTGCTTAATGTTCCCTTCACTGCTCCAACCTCCCTCCCCACCAGTTTAACCCTCTCACACACACAAAAAAAAAAAAAAAAAGTGAAATAAATTACTATTACACAAAGGGAAATGTGTAAGGTGTTGTAAGGATTCAGCATGGACCCTACTGAAATGAGGCACTAATGAGTTACAAAAGATTTGCACAAGCCCCAGGAAGACAAAAAGGCAGAGGGAGGGAGAGTGCCTATCTGCCTTGGCTGAATGGAAAGGTACCACAAAAGAGGCTCTTCAAATATCCTTTGGAAAATGGGAAGTTAGCCCAACAGAAGCCAGTGGTAAGGAACAATAATGTAAAACAAAAATGAAGATGGTTTAGCTGAGGGATTTGGTGGAGAGATTAGCCAAAGGCATAACATGAAAATAAATAAGAAGAAATTACTTAATTATAAGAGGCGTAAGCAGGCTGCAAGAGAATCAAAAGGCTCTGTGGAGTACCAGGGTGCAATGGGAACAATTACAGGGGATAAAGACATTGCAGGAAATTAAATGATCTATTTGCATGTCTCTGCCACCAGTCATTTTGAAGAGATACATAGATAATAAAGCTGAGGGACTGTTGGAAAATAAGGGGTCAAATAAGACACACTGCAAGAAAGTGATACATTTTGGAGAAGATAGCATCAGTAGAGGCTTTTGACATTACTGTCTCCGAACAGTTAAGCAGAGTCTCTGTTTTAGGCGTGCTAGTGAAATTAATTGGATTATTCAGATGGTTAAAAGTACGAGTGTACAGAAGTACTGACAGCTGAAGCCATTAAGATTGTCTGGTAGTAAGAAAAACCAAACTGTCACTAAAAATCCTGACTGTCCCACAAGACAGCAGGCTAACAAAGTTTGGACCAGTGCTGTTATCTTGGCAGCTGCAGACAACTCAGCTTAACATACCTAAGTTATAGGTATGTTAGGCGTGGTAAGACCCTCTCTCCTGTAATACTTAAAAGGTGGCTTAGCTAAATGCAAAGGCACATAAAAGGGGTTTCTTTACTTGTTAAAAAAAGTCTTGGTATACCAAATCCATGAATTTATCACCTTTTAAATGTAACAAAGCAGTGAAGCTACACCATCATATTTAACATAAGCTAGCAAAAGACTGAGCAATATAAAACTGACTCGATTGGGTCTGTTTGAACATCTAAGAAGAGACGACAGTGTAGTACACCTCACAAAAAAGCTACGTCCAAAGCTGAATAGCATTTAGCAAGCTGCAAACGTGGCAAAGAAATAAATCAGGTAAGATACCACATCTTGCTTTGTTCCCTCCCCACACAGTAAATCACCAATGGAGAGCAGAAATGCACGCTTAGCTTCTAGTGGGGGGAGAGCTGGCACTGCCCCGCAAGGAGGATTCCCACTGGGAGTAAAGCACAGAAGAGGAAGCACAGAAGAAGAAGGACCAGAAAAACATCCTCAGGTTGTCCTGACTAATTTGAGGTAATCGAAGCTGAAGGAGCTGTAAAGAAAGGCTTAGAAAGGGAGACGTGAACAATAAGCAGATGGATGCTGGTGGAGGAGGGAGAATCCCAGGAAGGAGCATCTTGAATTGCTCCCACACACAGCCAAGGTACACTGCTCATGGAAAAGCCCTTGGAATCCAGTCAGCATTGGGTTTTGAACTGGTGTTCATAATTCATATGAAGTCATTTATTTCAGCAGACTAAATTCTCCTTTCTGCTCATGAGGTACTGATAAGAAAGCCTCAACTTCTAATAATGTGTTCTTAGAAAACATCTGGGTTTTTTAAATGCATGTATTTATTTTAGAATTCTAAAACTTAACCTCTGCTGAGAAGGACACCCAGTCCTTGGAGATTCATGTCTTGATTCAAACTCATGAATATGGGTTGCTACCCTGCCTCTCCGCATCTGAGGAAAATGGCAATTGGTCCAACCACCGCAAGACCTGATCTTCGCATTTTATGACCTTTTGGTGAGGAAAGGCCGCTCACACGAACCCTGCGTAACACGGGGCAGCCCTTGGCTGAAGAATAACCAGGAAGAATAACGGCAAAATGAAGAATCGTGAATAAACATGGTGACTCACTTGGCTAATCCTTCACCAGAGAAGATGAACAGTCGAACAGAGGAGCTCACAGCTGACTCATGCGTTGAAAAGGGCTTGTTTGTCTCATCTGTCTGAAGTCTGAATAGCACATATGGGCGCAGAAA